AGCCTAGGGCCCTTAGTTCCTGCCCCTCAGAATATGTTCTCTTGTCCTGCCTCATCCAGACTGCTGCCGCCACTACTGCAGATTGTGTGCAAGGGCCTGGAGGACCCGTCGCAAGTTGTGCGGAATGCTGCGCTGTTTGCCCTGGGCCAGTTCTCAGAGAACCTGCAGCCTCATATCAGCAGCTATTCGGGGGAGGTGATGCCCCTGCTCCTCGCCTACCTGAAGTCAGTGCCTCCTGGGCACACACGCCACCTAGCCAAGGCCTGCTATGCCCTTGAGAATTTTGTAGAGAACCTAGGTAATGATGGCTGTTGGGGGTGTGAGGGGGCAGGATGTGCAACTCCTAGAACCGCTGCCTGTGGTGGAGAGAAGGGTGTGGCGGAGCCACAGGGAGGGTCAGCCTGGAGCCAGGTGCACTCCTAGAAGGTAGGAGACCTGGTTTGGTTATTAGAGGAGTGCCCTTTCCCACAGGGCCCAAAGTGCAGCCCTATCTTCCGGAGCTTATGGAGTGTATGCTGCAGCCTCTGAGGAACACCAGCAGCCCCCGGGCCAAGGAGCTGGCTGTGAGCGCCCTGGGGGCCATTGCCACGGCTGCCCAGGCCTCCCTGCTGCCCTACTTCCCCACCATCATGGAGCACCTGCAGGAATTCCTAGTGGCAGGGCATGAGGATCTTCAGCCTTTGCAGATCCAGAGCCTGGGTAAGGAAGGGGCTCCCAGGCAGTGTTTCCAGTGCCTTGGAAGGGCTGAGTGCATCCGATGTTCATAAAGATCTCCCCCAGGGCAGTGCAAGTGTCTTCCTTCTTGTCAAAGATGGTATTCCCATTTTACCGAAGAGTAGGTGGGATTTCAGAATTACCTCCAGCTACCACCTTTGGTCCCCAGGTCTTGGCCCTGCATTCCTCTGGCCCAGCTTCACATTCCAGTGCTAACCAAGTCTTTGCCTCCACAGAGACACTGGGGGTGCTGGCACGAGCAGTGGGGGAGCCAATGAGGCCCCTGGCGGAGGAATGCTGCCAGCTGGGCCTGGGCCTGTGTGACCAGGTAGACGACCCTGACTTGCGGCGCTGCACGTGAGTGAGCCCTCACTTGTCTCCACTCCAGACCTCAGTCCTCTGGTTCTGGACTAGAGCTTTCCCCTGACTCCCCCATCCTGTCTGGCTGTAGTGGGCAGGACTGTACAGCTTTCTCCTGCCTCCACCAGGTACAGCCTGTTTGCAGCCTTATCGGGGCTGATGGGTGAGGACATGGCACCCTACCTGCAACAAATCATCACACTCATGCTGTTGTCACTGCGTTCCACTGAGGGCATTGTGGTGAGAGGAGTGGGTGGGCTGGGCAGTTGGGGAAGGCCAGCCCTGGGGTAGGATTTATCTCCTGGTCCCAGCTGAGCCAGGGTCCCTGCTCATCACTTCTGTCTAGCCTCAGTATGACAGCAGCAGCTTCTTCCTTCTGTTTGATGATGAGAGCGATGAGGAGGAAGAGGAGGAGCTCATGGATGGGGACGAGGAAGAGGAGGATGGCTCAGAGATCTCAGGGTGCGGAGGGGTGCCATTATAGGAACGGTCAGAGGAATCCTAGCTTTGGACAAGGGCTCCATGCCAGGCTTGCTCCTGCTGGTGCCTGATTGCTGCTACCTCCCTACCTTACCCTAGGTACAGTGTGGAGAATGCCTTCTTCGATGAAAAGGAAGATGCCTGTGCTGCCCTGGGGGAGATCTCTGTGAACACCAGGTGAGCATTGGCCCTTCCCTGGCACTGGGTACCCCGCCTGGGAGCCTCTTCCCCATGGCGGTGTGTCTGTTCACAGTGTGGCCTTCCTTCCCTACATGGAGAGTGTTTTTGAAGAAGTATTCAAAGTTCTGGAGGTGAGTGGGTGGTGGGTGGAGTGGATGGGGACTGAAGGTTAGGGACCCTGTACAGAGCAGACACATTCTACTCCTCCTCATCCCACAGTGCCCTCACCTGAATGTGCGCAAGGCAGCCCATGAGGCTCTAGGTCAGTTCTGCTGTGCGCTGCACAAGGCCTGTCAGAACTGCCCCTCAGAAGCCAACACTGCTGGTGAGAAGGGCGAAGAGGCCAGGCTGGGGCCTCTGGAACCAGGGGGTGGGTAGGAGAGGGACAGGGCCTGACCAGGACTTCAGCCAATCATGTCCTCAGCTCTGCAGGCCGGCCTGGCCCAGGTGGTGCCGTCCTACGTGCAGGCAGTATACGGGGAGTGGGAGCGCCAAGTGGTGATGGCCGTGCTGGAGGCCCTGACGGGGGTGCTGCGCAGCTGTGGGGCTCTCACACTGCAGTCCCCTGGGCGCCTCACTGAGCTCTGCCACATGCTCAAGGCCGTGCTGCAGAGAAAGGTGAGCAGGGCAGGTGGGTTGCAGGAGGAAGAGGTGACCCGGCCACAGGTGGGGATGGTCAGAGGCTACAAGCCCAGCTCCCTCATTCCCCCACCCAGTAGAGAGAAGGGACAGGAGAGCCCAGGCTGACTTGAGCTACTTCTTTGTACAGACAGCTTGTCAGGACACTGAAGAGGAGGACGACGACGAGGACCAGGTGAGAGCTGTGGATGCAAACTGGGACCAGGTCATTTGTCTGGTAGTCCCCATAGGGCAGGGTGGACAGTGCACCTGGGCTTGGCCTTGGGGAACCAGGGCTGCTAAAAGACCAGTAATGGCTCCGAATGATACATCCCTGCTCCCACTCAAGCAGTGGGGGCGCAGGGAAGGCTTCCTGGAGGTGAGGGTTCAGCTTGGGCTTGGATTGATGGGTGAGCGTAGGAGGACCAAGAGAAAAAGCTGGGCTACAAACAAGCCCAGCCTGGGAGGGGCCAGTCCTGTCACCAAAGGCAGACCTCAAGGTGACAGCGGAGAAGGGACAGTGGAGAAGGATGGTGGGAGGTGCCACAGTCACAGAGCTGGCCCTGGTGCTCCAGCCCCTGTCTTGGCCCCGCAGGCTGAGTACGACGCCAGGTTGCTAGAGTATGCTGGTGAGGCCATTCCTGCCCTGGCAGCTGCGGCGGGGGGAGACACTTTTGCCCCCTTCTTTGCTGGGTTCTTGCCATTATTGCTCTGCAAGACGGTGAGTGCTCCATCTCTGGCTTCAAATCCCACTCTGCCCAACCCAGCCCCCCAAATCTGTTCTAGTCCCAGGCTGACTTACACTCCTCCCCACACCAGAAACAGGGCTGCACAGTGGCAGAGAAGTCCTTTGCAGTGGGGACGCTGGCGGAGTCCATTCAGGGCCTGGGTGCTGCCTCAGCCCAGTTTGTGTCCCGCCTGCTCCCCGTGCTGCTGAGCACTGCCAGGGAGGCCGACCCGGAAGTGCGGAGCAATGCCATCTTCGGGCTGGGCGTGCTGGCCGAGCACGGGGGCCGCCCTGCCCAGGAGTATCCTCAGCTTGCAAGAGTAGCTGGGGTGGGACTGGGAGAGTGTCCCTGGGCTCAGGGATGGGAAGGTGCCTTTTCCTTGACTGTGGACCAGATACTTCTCCAAGCTGGTGGGGTTCCTGTTGCCCCTCCTTGCACGGGAGCGTCATGATCGTGTTCATGACAACATCTGTGGGGCACTCGCCCGCCTGCTGATGGCCAGTCCCACAAGGAAGCCAGAGCCCCAGGTGCTGGCTGCCCTGCTGCACGCCCTGCCACTGAAGGAGGACTTGGAGGAGTGGGTCACCATAGGGCACCTCTTCAGCTTCCTGTACCAGAGCAGCCCTGACCAGGTAACTCCAGTGCTGGACCCTCAGGGGAGCTTAGTGCTTCCTTCTCAGAGATAGTTGGCATCGAGCTGTAGCTGATGCAGAGTGATGGTTTAAGCTGCCCTTTGACACTCCATATTCTACTCTCTCATCCATCTGCAGAGATTGACGGCCAGGCCTGTCATGTGAGAGGAAGGGTTTTCTCTCACCACATAGCATTATTCCTCAGGGAGCCTGGCCATGTTCATCCTGTGGTCTGAGCCAGAAGTCACAGCTTGGCTAGGAGGCTTTCTTAGACCAGGGCTCTTTCAGGCTTGCTTCATGGAACCTGGGTACCAGTCTGGACCAACCCACCATACATTCCGATCAGAAAAGCTCTGCTTTCTGTTGAGATTTGACTGCACCAAGTGTCTAGGATTGGACTGATGTCCCAATGTTCCTGTGTCGTTCACCATTGTCATGCAGCTTTAGAGACTTGTGTTGGTGGAGCTCCTGGGTGTCTGGGCTTTTGATCTTGAGGCCATGACTTCAATCATCTTTGATCACAATCCCCCACCACCCCCACCCCCAAGTTATCATCATGGTGTTTCACAAGTCATTCTCATGTTTCACAGTCATCTTGGATTCTTATGAATTAGTGTCAGGCTGTAACAACCCTGGTGGGAGACTGTCCTTGGCCCCTACCACCCACCCCCATCTTGGGGCTCAGGGGTACTGATGCCCAAGTGGGCCCTTCTTTTCCCACAGGTTGTGCATGTGGCTCCTGAGCTCCTGCGCATCTGCAGCCTCATTCAGGCTGACGACAGGACCCCACCAGGTGAGCGTGGCCTTGTGGGCAGGGCAGCGGGAGGCAAGGATCAGCAGGACTCAGAGGGCCTGGGGCAGCTAGGGGTTGGGGGTCGGTCCTCCCTGGATTTCTCTTCACCCCATCCAGACACCAAGGGTGCACTGCTGCTGCTCCTGACATTCTTGGCCAAACAGCACACCGACAGCTTCCACTCGGCACTGGGCTCACTGCCTGGCGACAAGGCTCAGGAGCTCCAGGCCATCCTGGGCCTCACCTAGATGGGCTGCAGCTGGGCCAGAGAGAACAGCCTGCCCGGGCCCCAGACCGCCTCTCAGCCCGTTCCACCTCATGCCTTACCAAAGATTCTGGAGTCCCAGCCCTGCTTGCTGCCTTATGGGCTGTCCCTGGGGCTGGATCTGCTATGCTGTGGGACAATACAAATGGACATGTGACAACATACCATAATAAAGGCAGTTCATTTCCTGTTTAAACAGTAGCTCTGAGAGCAGGAAGGACAGAGGTACATGTCCAGAAAGGAGACAGGCAGGGGCTAGTAAGGCAAGACATGGTTTAACATAGCTGGTTTCTTAGCAGCTTCTAAACTGGCTCTAACCACAGTGGAATCGGGGCCCCGGCTGGATCAGGAGGCGTCCATATGGCTTCTCTTGTTCCATGCGAAGGATCTGCTGACCTGCGAGCACTGTCAAGCCAGGAAGAACAGGCTAGTCAGGGGAGTCCCTACAGCGGCCTCTGGCCTGTGTCCCCCCTACACACACACATGCCCACACTCACCCAGGAGCAGGTAGAAGACTCGGGCAGCCATCCTGCGAGGGCTGAGAGGTGACACCAGGCTGGTGAACTCTGGCTCCCTGTTGGCCTCCAGCTCCAGTGCCACTGCCCTGTAGTGGTCGAGAACCGTCAGTTAAGGCCCTCGGCCGGCCCCACCCAGTCGCGGCACCCCACCTGGTACCTGTGCACAGCCTCAAGTGAGAGCAGCTCAGCCTCCGGAGGCAGCTCCAACGGCATCTCCACGGGCACCTCGGGGAGTTCCAGCACCACAGGCAGCGCAGGGGGCTCTGGCTGCTCTGCCTCGGCCCAGGCCCTGGGAGAACATGGGGTCAGTGGGGCAGGGAAGTGGCAGCTGTGGTGGTGACCAGGACCATAGCCATCCTAACCACTGCCCCCCATGGCCAGGGCTGCTGCTTACCACCGCTCTTCCGGGGGGATGAGGCTGATGTGGGACTTCTCCTCCTCAGCCGTTTCTATGGAGAGCTCTGTGGGGGGGGGGGGGGGGGTCTGAGAAGTTGGGATTTTGGGGCTACCAGGTCGAACTATATGCCAGAGCTATTCAGGGACCTGTTATAAGCACCCAGGAGGGACAACTGAAGAGAACAATCTGGGTTCCCCATTAAACACTTCCTTGGACAAAAACTCAGCAGTTGGGGTACCAGTTTCCTGGGACAGTGGTTAGGGTGGTGGTCTTCACCCCCCTTCCTCAGGTGCTTACCTGAAGACAGCATGAGGGGCCCACTGGGCTCCTGGGCCTCCCTTAGGACCTGGGGGTAAAGAAAGAGAATTAAGACCCCGAGCATCACAGGAGCACTTGGGACAGAAGTGAAACAGTCCCACTGAGCCAGCCTTGGCTCTGGGACAGGACACCCCAATTCCATGCCCAGGACCTGATGCCATTGGCTCACACAGGCAGAAGACAGTGCTGGAGCTTGAGCAAACAGGTCCCTTCAGGAAGGAGTGAGGGTGTAGTTACCTCGATATCACTCGGAGTTTCCATCTTTCTCCTTTCCTCCTCTGCCGCTGCCTCCCTCTCGGCAGCCTCCGCTGCGAGCTCTGCGGGTGGCGCTCGCCTGAGTGCTCTGGGGGGGGGGCTGGGCACAGTGGGTCCAGAAAGCCAGTAGTTCTGGGGGTAGCCAGCCAGCTGGGTGGGCACAAGGTGGCAGCAGTGACAGGGTTTGAGGCATGAACGAGAGAGGAATATGGGGTCAAGACCCCACCTGCCAACTCCCACCACTCTTCTTACAGTAAGTTGGGGTTCGGAACAGCTCTGTGGGGCTTCTGATGGTCCTCTCAGGGGGCTGCACCATTGGCTGCATGACAGAGAAGGCCAGAGCCCAGTTCAGAGGGAGTCACTCCACATCGCCCCTTCGCCTCTGCAATGCCTTGTGTCAGGGCCTCTGGCCTCCCAACTTCCAGGCTCTTGCCGCTGCCTGCTGTACTCATTGCTAAAAGTAGGACCTAATTGGTGCCAACAGATATGCTGGGCAGGGCCACGGAAAGAGCATGGAGAGAGGTGTGCACACACCCCAATGCATGCTCTTAGGGGGTGTTGCCAGTGCCAACCTGGGAGTTTAGAAGGCCCAGCATGTACCTACCCCAGCCTTCCCTGTCTCCCTCCCTGCAAAGCCTGGGCTGCACTCACACACTCCCAGCAGTGAGCTCTGGTTTGCAGTTGTTTCTGGAAATCCTCCCGGGAGATCTGAGTCTCCTTGTCCCAGAACAATAACTGGCGGCGGCGACTGCGGCGGCGAGCAGGTGGGGAGACTGGGGGCCTCTGCGGGGAGGGGGGGGCAAGGCTACCAATTAGTCCTTTTCTTGACATCCTGGTGGCCCACAAACGGGCCCCACACTGTTGTCCCAGAGATAGCCTGGGAAAGGGCTTGGATGGGCCCTCCAGGAGCACACGCAGCTCCTGCCCTGCAGGTCTTACCCATCTGGAAGTGCAGCTGGTTAAACTGTGGTGTAGGCAGGGCCACGCTTTTACTAATTTGCACAAAGGGTTGTGTAGGCTGGCAGTGGCCTTGGGCTTGAGGAAGCTGAATACGGGTGAGGAGGGTGAAGAGGAGAAGGCTTAGAAAGGCACTACTCACCTCTGGACTGAGTGGGGCTGGTAGAGGCAGCTCCTGCGGGGGCGGGGGCGTCACCTCTGCAACAACATGCTAGGTCCGGGTTCCACCCTACACCCTCTGCCCTCAGCCACCCAGGCAAGAAGCTGAAGGGTCCTGCCTTTAGCAAGTGGGAATACAGGACCCTTGTCTGCAGCAGCGGTGCAGGTGCCCCAGGCAGGATCCAGGCACGGCAGGTACTCACCAGCAAGCAGGGCCTCAGGTTCCCAGACTGCTGGCTTCACCTCCTCTGGGGCCAGGACCTGGCCTGGAAGTGGCTCTGCTGCCTCCTCCACCCTGAGAGAAAATGGGCGAGAGAGATGAGACCACTCCAGGCACTGACCCCTACCTGACCCAGAGGTCCCTGCGCTTACTGTGCAAGAGCTAGAGGTGAGAGTGGGGGAACCGTAGTTTCCACTTCCAGGGCCCGCGGTTCCTCCTTGGACACTGCAGAGAGAGAGAGAGGGTCAGGACTCAGAGCTCAGAAGGGAAGAGAGAGGAGCACTGCCCAAGCCCAGATGCCCCTGCCCAGGGCCTGACTGTCCAGCACCAGGCAGGCCCCACGCTGCTGGACAGGCCTGCCTTGTTCCTCCAGCAAGATGGCTTCATCTTCCTCAGCAATGAGCAGGTCCAAGTCCCGTCGGCTAACCTCTGGGAGGTCCCGTTCACCCTGTTGTAAGAGGAATAACAAAGAGAGGGAACTCAATTCCATTTCTAAAAGAAGAAAGTGGATCCAGGAGAGTGCGCCTGAGAGGCATACTACAGGGCAGGGTCGAGGAAGCCCAGTGGGTGCTCAAGTGCCAGGGGCAGGGAGAGGGGAAATGGAGACAGAGAAGGCAGGACTCTGGGGCAAAGAGAAGTAGATGCAAGGGTGGCTGGGCCGTCAGAAGCAGGGCTCAGCCTCTCGGTCTGAGTGTCAGGACACAACTCACGTCAATCTGCAGCATGCGTATGGGCTCTGCCTCTTGGAGCGTGATGGCTTCAGGAGACAGCACAGTGACCACGGGCCTGTCTGAAGGCAAGGAAGTCACACCAGCCCCTCTGCTTCTTCCCGAGTTCCCACACCCACATGAGGCAAAAGCATGGACTCGAGTCAAGTCAAAGTGAGTTTTAGTCAGGCCCAGGCCAGTCACCAGCCATCTGACTCTGGATAAGTTGCTTAACCACTATGGGCTTCACTTTTCACGTCTATAAGATGGGGATAAGAATTCTGATCTCGCCCTGGCTGGTTTGGCTCAGCTGTTAGAGCGTTGGCCTGCGGACCAAAGTGTCGCAGGTTCAATTCTGGTCAAGGGCATGTACCTCCGTTGCAGTTCAGTCCCTGGCCAAGATTGTACAGAAGGCAGCCAGTCGATGTGTCTCTCTCCCTCCCTCCCTCCCGCTCTATCTGAAGATAAATAGGAAACTGTCCTTGGGTAAGGATTAAAAAAAAAAGAATTCTGATCTCATAGGATTGGCTTTTTTTGAAAAAAAATTTTTTTTGGTACGAATTCAAAACTCTCTGGTCCGCAGGCTGATGCTCCAACCGCTGAGCCAAACCGGCCAGGGCAGGACTGGCTTTTTAAAAAAAATTATTTTTAATCCTCACCCGAGGATATGTTTTTATTGATTTTAAGAGAGAGAGAGAAGAAGGCGGGAAGAGAAACATTGATATGAGAGAGAAACATCGATTGCCTGCCTCCATACACACCCCAACCAGGGATTGAACCTACAACCTAGTTATGTGCCCTGACCAGGAATCGAACCTGCAAACTTTTGGTGTATAGGACGATACTCCACCCAACTGAGCCACCTGGCCAGAGCCAGGCCCTAGCTCTTAAAGAAGCTCAAATATAGTTATTTCTTCAGCTGTTAGAGCGCCCTATGCCTCTCACCGGAGAAAAAGCCCTCTCGGCTCACCTGGCTTCCCAGGCTCTGCAGGGGCCTCATCAGGAACTCTCTCTGGGGTCACAGCCTCCAAAAGCTGTCGAATCTTTGGGGAGAGATTGGGGACAAAAAATAGGGTTCAGCTTCAGCCCCCTGCTTTCCCACTTTCACAATCTTATTCACACAATGGATAGTAATACTCTTTTCTGCCTAATTCTTGTATTAGCATGCAGTGAACCCACTAGCCATCTGGTCTCCTGCCCTCATGCCCCCCACAAACACACAAACATAGCCTTTATCACTTTATCTGTGCAAGAAGCACTGCAACCTTATATCAAGTTTTGTGGGGGACAGAAGGAAAAGAAAGGGGTCTTGATCTTAAAGAGTATATGGTCTAGAGGGGAGACAAGTTTGTATATGACCCTACCAAAGGTCAACACATAGGATAAGACAAGGCTCTGTGTGCTGAGTTCCAGAAACACATTTGGTTCTGGCTGGGAGTGGGATAAAGCTTTGTTGAAAAGGGTAGCATTTGCCCTGGCCGATTTGGCTCAGCGGTTAGAGCGTGGGCCTACAGTCCAGAGAGACCTGGGTTTGGTTCCCGCTAGGGGCATGTACCTCGGTTGCGGTTTGTCCCCGGCCCTGGTTGGGTCGTGCGAGTGGCAACCACTCAGTGTGTCCCTTTCACATCGATGTTTCTCTCTCTCTCTCTCTCTCTCTCTCTCTCTCTCTCTCTCTCCCTCACACTCTATCTGAACAAAAAATGGAAGGAGTATCCTCAGGTGAGGATAAAAAAAAAGGAAAGGGTAGCATTTGAGTGAGGTCTGCAAGGATATGTAGGGTTTGACTTGACTAGTAGAGAACAAGGTGTGACCATTAAGGGCTAAGCAAAGAACTGGATGTGGCATCTTTGGGACCAGGGGCCAGATTAGTGTGTTTGGGAAACAAAGATGCCCAGAGAATGTGCTGAGATGTCTGGGGATGGCTAGTTCTGGACCAGGGCACAGAGAGCCCTAAATGCTCGTATTCTGTTTGCAGGTGTCTTTGGGAAGAGAATAACATTGTCTACGTGACAAGGGTGTTAGGAATGGATGGAGAAGGACACGGGTAGGGAAACCTAGTGCCAAGGGATAATGAAGGCCTGACTTAAGGCCTTGGCCATGGGAACAGTGTAGAGATGAGTGGGGACAAGAGCTGCCTCTAGGACAGTCTTGAGTAAGTAAGTGGAGTGGACTTGTCTGGACTGGTCCACCATGACAGTCCCCCAGCACTGACTCCTGTCGGGCAGAGCTGTGGCAGCTCCCTTTCCTAATCCCAGTGTCAGACTGGTGCAGGAACAGCACTCCCCTTCTGTAGTGTCAACTCATCCGTCTGACAGTGTCCTGGGAGAATGAACCCCACCTGAGGTATATCGAAGGGGCTGGGAAGTCCGGGATCCACAGACATCATCCCAAAAAAGGGATCTGGAGCATCTTCTAGGGTCTCCATCATGGCCAGGCAGTTAGGAAGCAGCAGGCTGGGTCTGAGAGAGACCGTGTCTGTCAAGGACTGAGGCTGAGATGGGCTGAGAACAAGGGAGATTCCCCACCAAAAGCTGCATGGTCCCAGTCCCAAGGCGACACTCACAGTTCAGTCTCCACCATATCTATGCGGATCTGCAACTGGGCACGGTGCAGGCGCTCCAGGATGTGCTGTATGTCCTCTGTGGGCAGGGAGGGCAAGTAGAGAGCCAGCCTAGCCGAGGACCACTCAGCTCTGCCCTGCCTCTGGGGAGCCTTCCCACCTTACCTACGAGGTACTGGCATTGTTGTGAGTAGACCCGGATCACACCGATCTGAAGCTGGGCTGAGAGGTAGAGGGAGAAGCGCGGGCGGGGCAGGCCGGGCTGCGGGGGTTCGACTTGTACAAGCACATAACTGAGGATTTCCTCGCTGCAGGAACAACAGGCCCTGATCATCGCCTGCGAGAACCAGCCCCACAGCCTTGGCCACGCCCCCATCTATCCCCTAACCCACACCAGCACCAGGTCACCTCCCTCTTCTGGGCCTTACCAGGTCTTCACCACATTCACCTTCAGGTATTCACGCTTCACCAACCTGCTGCCGCGCGTCGCTGCCAGCCTGGAAGGGGTGGGAGTGGGGGTGGCGAGGGTGGGAGCGGTCAGGCGTGGATCCCGGGGAGCCCTCCCAGCTCGCCCACCCTGGGCCCGCCGGCTTTTACCAGATAGTGGCGAAGCAGCCGGTGTGGCGCTGAAGCACATTGGGATAGTAGAACATCGTCCCTCTGGGGTTTCAGCCCTCGTCTCTACCACTGCTCCGTTCGGATCTCAATCGGGATTCTTTAGGGCACGGGATTTCCCAGCACCATCGGAGAAAAGTAAGGATTTGGACAGATGGGGCAGCGGATGGACCCCGAATGCCAAATAAATGAACCGATAAACACGTGATAGATAAATGATTAAGGGGACAAGTTAAAGGAAACGCAGTACTAGATACAGAGGGATGCTCCCTCCGTCAGCCCTTAAGAGTTCGCTCGCCACGTGGGTGCTTTGAACTTACCGAGCAGGTTGGAGATGCACAGCTCCCGCGGGAGGGCTGCACTCCGCAGAGATGCCAGGCTCCGGGCCTCAGCTCTCAGCTTGAGTAGCAATAGCCTCAGCGGGTCGCCCTCCCGCCGCAGGGCGCAGGGCGCGGGGCGCAGGGCGCGGGGCGCGGGGCGCGTCCCGCTCCTCTTCAGAAGACGGTGGCCCCAGAACAGCCAATGAGAACAAGGGTCGGCGTCCCTTGAGCAGGTTCCAGGACGCCGAGCAGCCTGCCAGGGGTCTAGACGACAGGGGGCCCCCGAGGCAGGAACGAACCAATGGGCAGAACCCTGAGCGCTGCTGGGCCATTGTGAAGTGTCCTGACCAATGGGCTCTCGTTCTCTTCTCTGGTAACAAGGGTTCCTCGGAGGTGCTTCTCTGCTGACCAATGAGCGGGGAGCACATCTCAGCCTCTCCCGCATCCAGCGTGGTAACAAGGGTATTTCAACCAGTAGGGTCATGCCTGGGGCAACGGCCTTGGCCCTGTTCCACCCCGGACTTGCGGTTAGACCTTGCCCTCCCCCTACCGAATCCTGCCAGGCAGCAATGGACTGGTCCGGTTTTTTGTGCCTGCTTTGGGCCTCTCGGGAGCTGGACAGGTAGAAATGGTGTGAGGTGGTCTGGGAGCCACCCCAGGTCCCTGTGGGGAAAATCAGATCTCACCGGAAGTAATGAGAGGATTTGCTTGGAAAGTGTAGGTTGTGGGCATGCCTGATCTGGCTGTTCTCCAGTTGCGAAGGTTCTACAGTTGTAAATAGACTTTAGCTTTGTTGGATGTAGGATATACTCTTGGCACCCAGAAGCCATTTGTCTCAAACAATTCTTCATGCAAAATTATGTTCTAGTTACAAATATCCCTCGTCTCCATGCCTCCTGCCTTTGCACAGCCATTAGTCTAGATGCCCTTCCCAGCCTGGACTCCAGGGCATGCTACTGCCACTTTAAGACTCCACTCTTATTGCAGCCCAGCTGACTCTGTTTTATTTTGCTCTTTCAATCTGGGAGCTGTTGAGATTGGGGTCTTGTGTTTTCAATTAGTGCCTGGAACCTAGTGAAGTAAATATCTGTCAAATGACTGTGCAATTACCCTAAACTTACAACCACAGAATGAATGTCAAGGCTAAAAAGGATTTCAAAATCTAGTCCAAACCTTGCATTTACAGATGAGAAAATGGAGGTCCATACAGACAGACTGTTTCTTCCAGACCACACAACTCCTTAGTAACAGCCTGACTGAATTTCAGTGTTCCCAATCCCTATTCCACCATGTTTGGCTAAATTGGCTTCTGCAAGATACTTACAGTTGTTTCAGTCATTGTACATAAGTTGTGTCAGTGTTCACAAGTATTCACATTGGGGCACAAAGATGATAAAATAGGGGTGCCTTCCCTTAAGGTGCTTAGAACCTAGTTTAGGAAATGATTTGTTCATTCATCACATGATGTGCCAGGTGCTCCTCTAGGCACTGGGGATATAGCAATGACCAGAACAAGTTCTCATGGAGTAAGGACAGAGAGGAGATAGACAAGTAGACAAATAGCAACATGTGAAGTGGTCAGTGCTATGAAGAAAAATGAGGCGGCATAGAAGAATACAGCATAGTGAAGACTAGGTAGGGTGCTCAGGGAACAGAGGGGACGAGTCATGTGCCTACCTGAAGGAAGAGTATTTTATTTTATTTATTTATTTTAAATATTTTTTCTTTATTGATTTCAGAGAGAGAGAGGAAGGGAGAGGGAGAGAGAGAGAAACACTGATGAGAGAGAACATCGATTGACCACCTCCTGCATGCCCCCCACTGGGGATTTGGCCCACAACCTGGGCATGTGCCCTGACTGGGAATCAAACCGGCAACCTCTTGGTGCGTGGGTCAATGCTAAACCACTGAGCCACACTGGCTGGGCAGGAAGAGTTTTTTTTTTTTTTTTATCTTCACCTGAAGACATTTTTCCATTTAGAGAGAGAGAGAGAGAGAGAGAGAGAGAAACATCAATGCAAGAGATACATCGACTGGTTGCCTCCTGTATGACCCTGACCAGGGCCGGGGATAAACCGCAACCAAAGTATGTGCCCTTGGCCGGAATCGAACCCGGGTCTCATTGGTCCGCGGGCCGACACTCTAACCACTGAGCCAAACCATCCAGGGCAGGAAGAGTATTTTAAACAAAAGAACCAGCAAGTGTAACGATCCAGAGGCAGAAATGTGTTTGGTGGGTTCAAGGAGCCTGGAGCAAAGTGACTGAGGAGAAGAATGGCAAGAGGTGAGATTAGAGAGAAGGACAGTGCATCACAAGGACCGTGGAGGCCATTGTAACAATTTGGGCTTTTAACCTGAGTTGAAAGCCAATGGAGGGTTTTGAGCAGAGAATTGACATAAGATTTATGTGTTCAGAAGAGGCTGAAGGTGGACAAGTGTGAAAGCAGGAAAGAAGATGTGGAAGGAACTAGGAAGAAGAGGCGTGAGATGATGGTGACTTGTTCCAAAGTGTTGGTGATGGAAGCAAAGAGAAGTGGTCAGATTTTGGGTAGTTTCTGAAGGAATAATGACAGGACTTGCTGATGGACTGCATCTGGGGTACAAGAGAAAATGCAGGTTAAGGAGGTAGCAGGTACAAAGGCCCAGGAGAGATTTCCGCACATTGAGGGCACAGCGGGGCTTATGCACCTGTGCACTCAGTACCTGATTTCTTCAATGCCCGTCAGATGCCTGTTTAGGTTCCTGGAGGATGATAGGAAGGAGTGAAGAGAAGGAAGGCCCAGGGAGGTAGAAAGCTCAAAAGCAGCACTGACGTTTGTCAAGTGAGCCAGCAAGATCCTCAAGGATCCAGGTATTTAGATTTGTTCATGTAGGTGATACATGAGCCCCTGAAGGCTTATGAGAGTGACAGGACAGGAAGGAATCTGGTGGGGAAGGCCCCTTCTCCTCTAATCTGGTGTCATGTATAGGAAAGGGGAAGCTAGCGGCCATGGCAGTCAGATAAGTGATGACTTAGGTCTGAATTATTCTGTTGGGATTGATTATACAGAGAGGAAGGATGACAAATGGCCTTGTGTAGAAAAAAATTTCGTTTGGTGGCAAACACAGGGTGAGGGAGAGGAGTGTCAGCTTATTTGTACTCAGTGAAGAGTGTTGGGCCCTGGCCAGTTTGGCTCAGTGGTTAGAGCGTCGGCCTGCAGTCCAGAGAGACCCGGGTTCGGTTCCCACTAAGGGCACGTACCTCGGTTGCAGTTTGTCCCCGGCCCTGGTTGGTCATGTGGGTGGCAGCCACTCGATGTGTCCCTTTCACATTGATGTTTCTCTCTCTCTCTTTCCTCTCTCTCACTCCCACTCTATCGGAACAAAAAATGGAAAAATGTCCTCGGGTGAGGATAAAAAAAAGTGTTGGTGACATGGCAGTCTAGCCAGATTGTCTTTTGCGGGGATCAGGTAGAGTGAGGAGACCAGCTTGGGGGTACCCTTGGGTGGAGGACAGTGTGCCATGTGCAGGAGAAGAGGCACCAGGGCCTGCTCTGCCCCAGGCACAGAAGAGTCAGCAACTCTTCCCTCTGATTTCCCCTCCCAGCAGGCCTAGGGCCTCTAGGCAAGTGTCAGGTCAACTTCAAGTTCTGTTCATTCAGACTTCCAGTCTAGAGTCCAACCCTAGGTCTCTTGTAAAGGCCCAAATCGCGCCTCTAGCAAAGAACTATGGAGCCCGTATCTTCCTATATAAAGTTGGCTTTAGTGGCCATAGGCTCAGTGTCCTTCTTGGTGGCTGACCCTGCCCCTAATCCTGGCTGTGCAGAGGGTACAGTCAGGCCCCAAACCTGCCGTGCTCAGATTGCTTCCTTGCTAGAACTTGTGGGTAGAGGAGAGGAAAGGGGCCCAGAGATGTTAGCAGGAAGAGAACCCAAGTGCCCTACTCTTAGGTTGCAGCTCTATTGTCTTCCTGTGACCCCTGCTACCTTATTCTCCCAACAAATCAGATAGATTCCTTTTTCTTTTCCTAATTTTTATTTATGTTTTATTGATTTTTTAGAGAGAGAAAAAGGGAGCGGGAGAGAGAGACAAATATCAGTGTGAGAGCAAAACATCAATCGGCCACCTCCTGCACACACCCTACCAGGGATCAAGTCCACAACCCTGGTATGTGCCTCAACTAGGAATCAAACCAGCAACCTTTTGGTGCACAGGACAATGCTCAACCAACTAATCCACACCAGCCAGGGCCTGATTCCTTTTTCAGTATTATTTAAAATCCTTAGTGAAGATTTAAAAAGAAAATATAAAGTGCTTGGCTTTAGGACTGGGGTAAGTAAGAGAAAATGGTCCCCCTGAGTTCACACCATTTGTACTTTCCCAGTTCAGTTTCTCAGAGATAAAAGAGGGTGTATCTAAAACATTAAAAGAAATAAAAAATGGATAAAAACCAGCTAGACAGCATGAGGAGTTCAAGGGCATAACCATCACAGAAAACCACTACAATTATCACAGAGGGAGGCAGGTCAATAGTGTGGAGAATGAGTCTCTTTCAAAGGCAATAGGAAGGTAGGTCTCCCAGGCTCTCCACCAGGGACAGAGTGGCCGTCTGGTCCTCTGGAGGCTCCGCCAGTAAATGCCGGGCAAAGGCCTGCTCCATCTGTGCCAGAAGAGGTGGGAAGCAGGTAACATGAGCACAACAGGGGCAGCCACTACCCCCACCCCACCCCAGGAGGCCCCTTCTCCTCTTGGCTCCCCCTGGTCTACACAGGCAGCTATTCTTACTGTGTCCTGAACTCACCTGAACTGAGATAAGACTCTGTGGGGTGTGGCTGGGGTCAGAGTCCTTCTCTAAGAAATTCAGTGTCACCTGGAACTTGGGTGGGGGGCCCAGGCCCTGGAAGTACTTCTCTAAGTCTGAAAGAGAAAAGGTCAAAGGTTGGAAGAAAGAAAAGAGAGAGGGCCACAGGCAGGAGGGAGGGAACAGAGAGGGACCCACAAGGGAGAAAAGGAGGTGGCAGTGGGGCCACTTGGAGATGAAGGCCAGAGCAGGAGCCACAGGGTACCAGGCCGCTGCCTTGTGCCAGGAGAAATGTGCGGAACTAAGCAGCCACTCACCCGTGTGCAGAGAGGAAAAGGAACTCCTTCCTCGGGAGGAAGTATTTAGCGGTGGCTGACTGTTAACGCAACTTGACATGCTCTCTGCTGGGAGAGCGTGGAGTCCTCTCGGCGCAGCCCTGGCTCTAACACACGTGCCCACACCCTGGCTGCCGCTCACTCTCTTCCCTACGCTAGGGCACTCATGGCCTGGGAACACTCATGTTCTGCATCCCCTGTACTCCTGGCCCCGCTCCCAAGGCCAGATTTAGAGTTGAATGGAGGCAGGAAGTGGACTTCCAAGTGCGGATAGAAGAGGGGCAACCTGAGGAGACGCCAGGCGTGGGGTAGGGGCAGGATGTGTGACACGAGCCAGCTCTCCTGACTGTGCGTGGGCGTGTGTGCGTAGGAGAGGGCCACGAGGTGCACCTTCCCATGGCGACTGTACACTTCCACGCGGTGGTGCTCTCTGAGCTGTGACACTTTCGTGCTGGGCCCCACCTGAGCCCCATCTTCCGCGGCATGGACTGCGGAAGGAGGGCTGCCGGGCAGCTGCCAGGGCCGAGCATAGGGCCTCACTGGATGCTCACCCAGCAAGTGCAGGGTGCCGCGCACAGGCTGTGATGGATCTGCTGGAGGAAGCACAGGGTGGGGGAGGGGCCAGGGGGCCTAACGGCAGAGATGCTCAGGAGCCGGGCTGCAGCAACCTCACCTCTACAGAAGTGAGAGGTGTTAAAGAGCTCCACACACTCGTCGCTGGGCAGCAGATGTGGGCCTGGGCCAGGTGGGGTCTGGGGCGCACTCCAGGAGATGGGGATGGGGCAAAGGCGCTGTGCGAAGAGGCCTCGGGAGTTGCTGGCCACCAGGACACCTCTCTCGAGCTGGCTCAGCAGACGCTGGGTGGGTTCTTGCGGGCCAGGCTTGGGAAAGACCACCTGCTCCATGCTGCACCGGGAGAGGGAGGGCTCGGCCACCAGGCGGCAGTCCAGGCTCTGCACCTGGGCCTCCGCCACCACGTGCCCGTTGTAGATGAAGGTGAGCCGTAGGGAGTAGTCTGTGGACAGAGAGTAACCAACTGCAACAAGTGCCTCTCCCTAGGGGTACACCTGATCAGCACATGGCTCTGGGGAAACAAACAGGCTCCTTGCGAATCTAATATCCTGCTTTTGCTGCTGAGGGACGAGAGACCCAGGCAGAGAAACCAAGCAAGGGCTGGGGAGGACAAGACAGGCTGTGGAGTGAGGGCAGCAGCTATATCTTCTGAGGTCAGAGGCGGCACCATCCCTCCTCATCCTTATTCCCCCACCCTCACCCGCAAGGGACCTCCTGTCAGACTTTCCTACCACTCAGGAGAGTAGCTAATACACAGATTCCAGTGGAGCCTCAAGGCTTAATGCCCAGGGTCTTACAGTTTACAAGAAGGTCCCAGAGATTGGGGCTTTGCTTAACCCACAGAAATCAATGTCTCAAAGTGAATTTCCAGTAAACAGAACGCATAGGGGTATTTCTGAGAAGCAAGCTGTTTGGAGTCTGGAGCTGGCCAGGTACAGGGCCTAGAAACCAGTGCCTCTGTCTGGGTAAGGTAGGCCCAGGTCGCTGCAAGCCTGAGAGATTAGATAATGCATGTATAGCCACAGGAAGGTGACCTGTGGGGACAGGGAGCAAGGACAAGTCAGACATGCTGAGTACCTGAGTCTGGAGGGGGCAGAAACTCCAGAGACAAGGGGTCTCTTTGGAAAGGAGCCTCATTTGTATCTTCACCTGAAAGGGAGAAGAGGCATGCATTCAGAGTGGGACTGGAGAGTCCGAGGGCCAGAGGGTATGGCATGGGGGTGACAAGAGGCAGGTGCAGATGGTACCTTCTTGAGGCTCAGGACTGTTGTTGCTGCCGCTGCTGCTGCAGCTGCTGCTGCTCCCCAAGTCTGAGTGGCCAGCTCCTCCATCGGCCTCCACCTTCTCCTGCAGACACAGTGTCTATCGTTGGCCCCCTTTCCCCCTAGTTACCGTCCTGCCCTCGGCTCACACCGTTCCTTCCCCAGCTCTTACGTTTTTGATGGGATCCTGGAGCAAGGAGGGGCTGAGTACACAGTTCTTTGCGGTACCCTCATCCTCCTCCCTCTCAGGGGTCACAGAGCTGTGGTGTCTCTTCGATGGTGATTTCTGGGTTGCTGGTGGGGCTGTGGCATGTTGTTGAGAAGGAGAGAGAGGTCAGAGCCTTAAGTGGGGACAGGGTAAGGGAGATAGGAGGCGGTGAAAGGATGGGCAGGCCTGGGCGGAGAACAGGGTAGCAGCTCCTCAAGGATGGGGACGAGGCAGTGCTCCGACCGAGGGGCCTGGAGGGAGTCCCACCCTCCCAGAAGGCTCTTCTCCATCCTTCCTCCCCAGTCTGCTTATTCTAGGAATAGTGAGTTGAGGGGACACTCACCAGGGAGGGTTCCTGGTGGCAGCAGCCGATATACCTTGTAGGGCTCAGCACCATCCCTATGGCTATTCTCAGGAACCTCCTTAAATTCAGGACTCTTGTTGAGAGCACAGCGCAGACGAGTCTTCCAGATAGCAGGGCCTTCCGTGTCCCCCTCCTTGTACTTTCCCTTAAATATTGCCCAGGCCTAGGAAACATGATGTGAAGAGAGGCAGCATGTTACAGACTGCAGCTGACACGCCACCAGGCCAGTGTCATGGATGTCCAACCTGAGCACCTGTACAGAAACACCTGTGCTGGTTTTATGCTCAGCTGATCACCTTGAAATTCTTAATAATTTTTGCATTTTCATTTTGCACTGGGCTCTGACAATTATGTAGCTGGATCAACCCTTTAATCTCCCCTTTATCTGACACAGAGGCAGATGTAACCCCTAGAGCAGCGGTTCTCAACCTTTGGGTCACGACCCCTTTGGGGGGTCGAACGACCCTTTCACAGGGGTCGCCCAAGACATAACAGTAGCAAAATTACAGTTATGAAGTAGCAACAAAAATAATTTTAGGGTTGGGAGGCACCACAAGATGAGGAACTGTATTAAAGGCTCGGGGCATTAGGAAGGCGGAGAACCACTGCCCTAGAGCGTCAGTGTTGATGCCATCTATCACTTGGAGGGAGGGGCCGGTTCCCAGGCCCTTTCACCTTGAAGAAGGCAGCATCCTGGTCCTCCCGGAAGTCCTGCTTGCCTGCATGCTTCCAGGGAATCCGGAACATGGTCTTAGCTTCATCTTCCCAGCACACCCCTGGGAACTGTCCACTCTCCACTTGCTCCACCACCCAGTTCCGGAGCTTTCGGGTGCAGCGTGCCCGGCCTGATGCCATCCTGGGAATAAGAGCAGCAGGTAGCATCACTAGAGCCAACCAACCCTTTGGGAGGGAATATCGGCGGATGCTCTGGCCATTGGGGTTGTATTCTGACAACGGCCTCCAGAGAAGCCATCCATCTTTTTCTCTAGCTCAAAATTCTGAGGCCAAATAGTTTTGTTTCTGCCATTACTGGCAACTACAAAGAAAAAAAAAAAAAGTTCTCTTTAACACCCCAACCTGTGACATCTGGAAGGAAACCTTAGGTACCAGTTTTAATTTCAAGACCAGGAATCTGCCCTGGCTAAGTAGCTCATTTGGTTAAAGTGCAGTCCTGATACACCAAGGTTGCAGGTGTGATCCCATCAGGGTACATATGAGAATCAACCAATGAATGCATAAATAAGTTGAACAACAAATCAATGTTTCTCTAACATCAATACATTTTTTTTAAGCAATATTAAGACTTCTCAGGAATCTATTTATTGGAAGATAGAATCTCCTTAGTGTTCCGTTCTTGGTGAGAGGTCCAAGCTAGATCCCTAGACACTTGCAGAGGCAGTATCTGCTTCCGAGATGCCTCACCAACACTTCTCACCCACCACCTCCACAACAGTCTATGACCCCCATCCCTCCCCTCTGCTTGCCCTAAGGGTAGGTGGGGCAGGCAGCTGGGGGCAGGGGCGGAGCTGGAGCAGAAGTAGGCAGGGCCAGAAGACAAGAAAACAAACAGGGTCAAGTAGACTGGAGCCAACAGCCTTCTTCCCTGAACCCAGCAGCAGGTCCTCCTGGCTTCTGCGGTAGAGCTTGGGACATAGCCCCTGGTCAGTCTGTCCCTCGGGCTAACCTCCTGCCTCCTGGCTCACGAGCATTCAGTCTATCTCGCAGTTTAGCAGAGGGGGCCCCCCGGAAACCCCACCTCCCTCCAATGTGGCTGGGCCTTCCAGCCCCGTGAATATATACACGGAAGCTACCCACCAATTCTTGGCTGATCTTACCTGAGCCGTTGTGCAGGCTGTCCCAGGGCTCAGCTGACCTCAGCTCAGCTCCAGGCTAGGGAGCTTCCTGATAACTCCACCCTATTTCTACAGTCCCCACCCTAAGTTTCAGTTCTCCTCCAGGGAAGTCCAGTTCCTTGAAATCACGTGGTCTCCGAGTTGCAGGGCAATGGGTAGCCACCAGGGGGAAGCAGCACCTGAGAATCTCAGATGCTGAAGGAACCGTCCCAGCTCAAGCTCCTTCTCCTTCCTTCCTGATACTCCTTGCTTGTGTCCCACCATCTCTGGGGCACTGCTGCCTCCCCAGGGAGGCCACAGTGTGCTGGAGTCTGGCCCCAGGGCCCCTGGATATCTCTGAACCACCTATGCATCTATGTTCCCTGATGGTGCCTGCTTAGTACCTACTAGGTGACCTCAAATATCAGCTGAATTTGATGCAAGGAAGAGAGGCAGGGAAGGAGGAAGTCAGCCCAGGCCAAGTGGCTGGATGAAGAGGACCTCCCTTTGCCATCCATGGTGTCAATCCCTTTCCGGTCCTGGGTCCAGGGAGGGTCAGGTAGTGGGCTGTCGGGGGGCCCTTTCAGCAAAGCTCTGTTCACCCCCCTTTTTCCCTGGTGCCCCCAGATGGTGGGGTCAGGAAGAAGGACCACCAAGAAGCCTGGGCAAGGAGATGCCTCTTTATTGGTGCTGGAGCTATTCCTGAAGAAGTGGAGCCATGGAACCTTGTCAGGACCCTCGCCCTCAGCTACTTCCTCCTGCGGGGTATACTCTGTCCCAAGGGCACCTCTGCCATCAGCTTCTGCAGAGAGAAAGAGATGATGATGATCCTGGAAGCCTGGAGCTCGGACAGGCTGGACCGGGGACTTCCAGAGCATAGGGTCAGAGGAGGCTGGGAGGAGAGCTTCACCTGTAACAAGCGGGTGTGGTAGGCAGAGGCATCCTCCCCAGCCTGTGGCTGCGGGCGCACATGCAGGTAGCGCTCAGCAGCCGTCTCCAGCTCCTCCACCTCATACAGAGTGGCTGGGTCCAGTGAGTGGGCATTGATGAGGCTTACAAGATACTCTTTGTAGTGTGCCCTGGGGAGATGAGAGGGTGGGATATTTGTTCTTTTGTTCAGCTAATATTAACTGAGTGTGCCCAGCACCTTGATGGACACTGGCATACTTAGACGAACAGGACTGACAACCTTCACCTGTGTATACATGCCAACCTGTGCACACTGCTTGCTACCACCCACCCATCCAGGCCCTTGCCCAGAGAGCCCCTCCCTCCTACTCCTTTCAGGACCTACTGCTCCCAGAGACCCACTTTACTGCCCGGGCAGACCCACAGCACTCCTGTCCCTCTCCCCAGCACACTGCGCCCTGCCTGGCACTTACTGGCAGAGGCCTGCATAGCCAGCTGGTGTCTCCTTGCCACAAGCTTCGTCCCGGAGTCCATTGGGAACCTCCTTCTGCTCCATCACTCGGCAGCCACCTGTGAGTAAGCGCATGAAAAGGCCCTTTGTTTGGAAAAGGCTACTGACAACCAAGCCCTAAGAGAAGTGGGATGGAAGCGTGGGAGGGAATCTCCAGGGAGGGGCCAGGGGCAGGAGCCCCTGCTCTGACAGTGGTTGGTGTAGAGATGCTATGTGGCAGATCAGCTCTGATACAGAAGCAGAGACCTTGCTGTCCCTGCCTTTATCTAAGCTGGCTTTTGGCCTATAATCACATACTCCTGAGACAGCTCTTTTGTGATTTAGCTCTTGCATGGTTAACTTATTCTGTGAAAGTCTTACTCTGTCTAGATGGTGAGAAGTGGGGTATATTAGAACCATACGTAACATCTTTCTGTTGCCCTCATGGGACCTAAAACAGTGCAACTAGCAAGTCTCAGTAAACTCTCACTGAACTAATGAATCATTACCCTTTGGGAATGGAAGAAGAAAATTAGCCTCAAGGTGCCAGGTGCTTCAATGTGCCTCACGTAAAATAGCTGAGCTGGAAGGTGAATACTACCTCCATTTTACAGAGGAAGAAACAAGGCTCAGGGAGGTTAACTCACCAGTGGGCACACAAGTCAGCCCAGGATGGGCTTCTGCTCAGGTATGACCCCAGACCCAAGCCTCCCTTTTACCCACTGTATTGTGGACGCCCAGCCACCTTCTCCCCTTCTCAAAGGCTTGTCCCGACACTCACCTCCAGGCACTGCCCGGGCCCCTGTTGGGGGCTCTGTGTTGAACATGACGTTATTGTCCTGGGAAGGAGCAGATGGGTGAGTGTTAGGTTATCCTTGATGCCAGCCCACTGGATTTCCCAGGATAGAGCTTTTCCTTTCTCGTTACCCCAGGCCCCGCCACCTCTCCTGGGCAACCTGCAAACCCAGCCAGGTCCACCCCTCACCTGGAGCAGCTTCTGGAGCCGGAGAGCAGGCCAGTCCCGTAGGTAGAAGAGGCAGTCTCGGGGATGGTGTCCGTGCAGGGACTTTTTCACCCTGCAGTTAGGGTCTGGACATTTCTGGTGGAAACCCAGATGGGAGAGGGGAAGTTGGAGACTGTTGGGGTCCTGGCCTCTCAGGAACCCCTGTGTGAGGGATGTAGGACTGGGGGGAGATGGAGACACTGGAGGGTCTGGAGCAAGCAGAGGGGAAGGGACAGAGAGAGGTAATTTACACCCCACCAGCCTCCTCTTCTCTTCCCCTGGGCTGCTCCTCAGTGGCCTCTACCCTTCACACTCAATGGCAGCCCCCTACCCTGTTATCCCTTCCATCCCCATTCTCTAGGCTCACATTCTTGGCGTAAAAGGCATTGTAGCATCCACTGCAGAACTGGTGGCGGCACTGGGTGCAGTGAAAGTGCATGCAGCCTCCGCGGGCCAGGGCGTATGAGAACTTGCACTTGGGGCAGTCTGCAAGGGACAGCAGGCCAGGGCTAGGGCTGCCACTGCTCCTCGAGGCCCTCAGAAAGAGAGCCACTGGCAACGACAGATTACTGGGCAAATAGACCTAGTTGGGCGGCCTTACCAATGCCGTTTTCCTGAAGGTACATTGCCAGGCCCTGGGCCTGGTATTCTGGATCATTGGTGCGTTTCCAGTTCTGGAAATCCTCACAGCTCCGGCCCCGATGCTGCTCCTCCCACTGCCAGAAGGAAAGCAAAAGTCACATGGAAGCTCCATCCTAGGCCCTTGTGGCTGGCCCCTCCACTCATCTCCAGTGGCCCCTGGCTTAGCTTACGGCACTGCCATTCACCATTTGCTCTACTCCCAAACTGAGGGCCAGTCTTGGCACTTTCGTTTCCTCAAACCACCGTACATTCACCAGGTCTTGTTTCCGACACCCAAGCCTAGCTGACACTGAGCAATGTCTGCTTTGCAACCTGTCCTCTTTCTCTTTATCCCTACTTTGACCATCTTACTCTGGGCCAGGTCAGGTCTTGCCTCAATTACTTGTCTTGGTTACTAGTCTCTCTGCCTCCACTCAGGCTCTCCTACTGTCCATCTTCAACCTTGCAGTCAAAGTGCCTTTGAAAGTGTAAGTCAGGCAGTTTCAACAGGATTGGGAGAGTTTTAGTTTTGAGGTTTGGTGGCAGTGTCTCAGGGTGGTTGTTGTATTCTTAATCCTCACCCGAGGATATTTTTCTTCCATTTATCTTCAGATAGAGTGGGAGGGAGAGAGAGAGAGAAACATCGATGTGAAAGAGACACATTGATTGGTTGCCTCCCGAATGACCCTGACCAGGGCCAGGGACTGAACTGCAACCAAGATATGTGCCCTTGACTGGAATCAAACACACGACTCTTTGGTCTGCGGGCCAACACTCTAACAGCCGAGCCAAACCGACCAGGGCTTTTTTTTTTTTAAATCCTCACCTGAGGACATTTCTTTTCCATTTTTTGTTCAGATAGAGTGGGAGGGAGAGAGAGGGAGAGGAAGAGAGAAACATTAACGTGAAAGGGACACATCGAGTGGCTGCCACCTGCACGACCAACCAGGGCCAGGGATAAACCGCAACCGAGGTATGTGCCCTTAGCGGGAACTGAACCCGGGTCTCTCTGGACCGCAGGCCGACGCTCTAACCGCTGAGCCAAACCGGCCAGGGCTAAAAGATTATTTATTGATTGATTTTAGAAAGAGCGAGAGAAACATTAATTTTTTATTCCACTTATTCACATATTCATTGGTTGATTCTTGTATGTGCCCTGACCAGGGATCGAACCCACAACCTTGGCATATTGGGATGACACTCTAACCAAATGAGCTACCGGCCAGGGCTCAGGGGTTTATTTTATTTTGTTTCATAATACAGATCAATTTTTTGGTATCAAATATTAAGCTTTTTAAAAGGTAAATGAGACCGTATCACTCCTTGCTTAGTCTTAGAATGAAAGGCAAATACCTTCTGCACTTGGCCTCAAGGCCGCTCCTGATCTGGCAGCTGCTCCTCTCCAGCTGCTGGCTACTCTCCCTTGCTCTTGAGGCTCTGACCACACAACACTTTTTTCTGACTTTGGCCTTTCCAAGTATTGTTCTTTCTGTCCCAAATACTCTGTGCATAGTTGATTTTGTTTTAATTTTCAGGCCTAAGCTTAAATTAAACCATTTTAAAGTAGGCTTCTCTGACCTCTCTATCCTAAGTAAGTCCATTCCATTATTCCTAATCTCAGATTCCTGTTTGTTTTCTTCATAGACACTATGTCCATGTCTAATTATGCTTTTTCTCCCTCACTCCCTCACTACCACTCTTCCTCCTCCTTTACCTTACCTTTTATCCCTCCTCTATCCTTCATCCTTCCTTCCCTTTCATCCTTCTTCCCCCTCAGCCTTCCTCTCTTCCCTTCCTCATCACCCTCCCTCCCTCATCCTTCCTTCTTCTCTCACCTTTCCTCCCTCCCTCCGTGACTAGTCTGCAGGCACTTTGAGCCCAGAGCTCATGTGGGTTCTGATCTCCAGCCACCCCGAGTCTGACAGAGTACCTGTAGATATTTCTGGAAGGATGAATGTGCCTCACCTGGCGCTTACAGCGCACACAGAAGGTCTGGTGACACTGGGGACATGTTGCCTCCAGCTGCTCACGCTCGTATATGAAGCCAAAGGAGCACTGTGGATGCAAGAGCATAAAGCTATCTGAGGCCTGA